AAATTTTGCTATGTTAGAGGCTAAAATGGCATATGATTCTGAAAAACTATGCACTTGAACTCTCTCCATCTTATGCTCATGCTCCTCATCCACTACTACTTCAACCTCAATATGGTGCTCAATTAATTTTGTATAAGTTGTAGAAATGGTCAATTTGGAACTTGTTATGGAACTTTTATCATTGTAACCAGCCATATTGAGGAAACATGACTTGAGGTTAGATCCTCGTGTGTCGCTGGTCGTTGTTATTGATGTCTTGTTATTTATGTTCCAGAATATTCTAGAATTTTAATTTCTCTTTTAAGACTATTAATTAGTGGAAATGATTTGAATTTTCATTATCCTTCTGTGAAACTTTTGAAAGATAATAAAGTTATTGGTTTTGGAAATTTGAATGGAAATTTATATAAACTTGAGCTAGACCCCACATTTGAATGCAATGTTTTAACTTTGCATGACAAAGAAATTGGCACTAAGCGATGTATTATCAATGAGAACTCATCAAGTCTTTGGCACAAGAGTTTGGGATACATCTCTATTGATAGATTCAAAAGGTTGGTTAATGATGGAGTTTTAAAAGCTCTTGATTTTTCTGACTTTGCGACTTGTGTGGACTGCATAAAGGGTAAGCAGACCAACAAATCAACTAAAGGTGCCAAAAGGAGTTCTCAAATGCTTGAGATCATACATACATACATCTGTGAACCTATTCCTACCCCTTGCTTGAAGGGTGAGAGATATTTTATCTCATTTATTGATGACTATTCAAGATATATGTATCTCTATTTTCTGTTTAACAAATCAGAAGCACTTGATGCTTTTAAAGTTTATAAAACAGAAGTAGAGAAACAAACTGGTGCTCAGATCAAAATTGTAAGACTGATAGGGGTGGAGAATATTATGGTATACACACAAATAAGGGACAAGTTAAAGGTCCATTTGCTGAGTTCCTTAAAAGTGAAGGTATGATTGCTCAATATACCATGCTAGGAACACTACAACAAAATGGTGTGGCAGAAAGAAGGAACCGGACATTAATGGACATGGTAAGAAGCATGATTAGCAGATCAAGTTTACCTTTATCCTTATAGAGTGAAGCCTTAAAAATCCTTGTGTATTTTTTAAATAGGGTTCCATCCAAGGCTGTCTCCAAGACACCTTTCGAGTTATGGAAATGATGGAAACCTAGTTTAAATCGTTTACACGTTTGGGGATGTCCAACTGAAGTGAGGGTTTGTAACCCACAACTAAAGAAGTTGGATGAAAGAACAATAAGCGACTATTTTATAGGCTATGCAGTTAACTCTAAGGGATTTAAATGTTTATTGTCCTTCTCATTCTCCTAAAATTGTTGAGGCTAGAAATACTAAATTTCTTGAGGAACATGAAGAAAGTGGGAGTGATTTGACTCAAATGGTGGAATCGGAAGAAATAAGGGAACCACGTGTGGTACCTTTATACATTGGGAACTTAAATGTTGCTCGGAAAAATTCTCATGAATTATCTGAACAACAACAAGTTCAAGAGCCACCACCACTTGAGGAGCCACATGAAGATGAACCCGTTTTACCTGAACCCACTGAAGAAGTGTCTGAACCAGTGGGGGTGAGAAAATTCTCAAGAATTCGATAATCAGCAATTTCTAGCGACTATGTTGTATATCTCCAAGAGTCTGATTATGATATTAGACTAAAAGATGATCCATGCTCGTTTTCACAAGCCATGAGTGGAGAAAACTCCACACTTTGGTATGATGCCATGAAAGAAGAGTTAGAATCTATGGCTAAAAATAAAGTCGGGGATCTCGTCGAATTGCCAAAGGGGATCTCGTCGAATTGCCAAAGGGATCCTCTACCATAGGTTTCAAGTGGGTATTTAAAACTAAAAGAGATTCATCGGGTAATATCGAAAGATAAAAAGCCAGACTTGTAGCTAAGGATTTTACTCAAAGGGAAGGCATTGATTACCATGAAACCTTCTCTTTAGTATCAAAGAAGGATTCATTGAGAATAATCATGGCATTAGTAGCTCATTTTGATTTAGAGTTACATCAAATGGATGTGAAAACAGCTTTCCTGAATTGAGATCTTGAAGAGGAGGTATACATGCGTCAGCCTGAAGAATTTTGTGATAAGGACAAAAGTCACCTTATTTGCAAGTTGAATAAATCCATCTATGGGCTAGAGCAGGCTTCCCGCCAATGGTATATTATATTTCATAATGTTATTTCTTCATTTGGATTTACGGATAACATCATTGATTAGTGTATATACCTTAAGATAAGTGGGAGCAAATATATTTTTCTAGTTCTATATGTGGATGACATTTTGCTTGCAAGTAGTGATTTGGGATTGTTGCACGAGACTAAACAGTTTCTTATCCAGAATTTTGAGATGAAGGATATGGGTGAAGCCTCTTATGTCATTGGCATAGAGATTCACAGAGACAGATCCCAAAGATTACTTGGACTGTCTCAAAAGGCCTACATTGAAAGAATTCTGGAAAGATTCGGGATGAAAAACTTTTCACTTATAGCAGCACCCATAATTAAAGGTGACATATTCTCTTTGAATCAATGTCCACAAAATACATTGAAAAAGGTGCAAATGAAAGACATTCCCTATGCTTCGCTTGTTGGGAGCCTTATGTATGCACAGGTCTGTACTAGACCTAATATTGCTTTTGCGGTAGGATATGGGTGAAGCCTCTTATGTCATTGGCATAAAGATTCACAGAGACAGATCCCAAAGATTACTTGGACTGTCTCAAAAGGCCTACATTGAAAGAAGCACCCATAATTAAAGGTGACAAATTCTCTTTGAATCAATATCCACAAAATGAATTGGAAAAGGAGCAAATGAAAGACATTCCCTATGCTTCGCTTGTTGGGAGTCTTATGTATGCACAGGTCTGTACTAGACCTGATATTGCTTTTGCGGTAGGAATGCTTGGCAAATCAAAGTAACCACGGTCTTGACCATTGGAAAGCTGGTAAAAGGGTCTTGAGATATTTGCAAGGAACCAAGGATTTTAAGCTCATATACAAATACTCTGACTCATTGGAGGTGATTGGATATTCAGACTCTGATTTGGGTGGATGCAAAGACACTTGTAAATCCACTTCAAGATACATTTTCCTTCTTGCTGGAGGTGCTGTATCTTGGAGAAGTGTCAAGCGGACATTGTTGCAACATCCACAATGGAAGCTGAATTTATAGCATGCTATGAAGCTACATCACAGGCGTTATGGTTGAAGAACTTTATTTTCGGCCTTAGGATTGTCGACTCCATTTCAAGGCCATTGAGAATCTTCTGTGACAATTCAGCTGCAGTGTTCTTTTCTATGAATAACAAAAGTGACAGCCGAAGCAAGCACATCGACATAAAGTACTTGATGGCTAGAGACTATGTGAAGAAGCAAGATGTGAGTTTTGAGCATGTTAGTACTACTTTGATGATTGCTGATCCTATGACTAAAGGTCTACCGCCTAATATTTTCAAGGATCATGTAACCCATATGGTTCTTAGTAGATCAATTTAGCCATGCTTTATTCTCTAATAGTTTGTCTAGACGCTATGTTTATTTTGATGTACATGACAGTGCACTCTTTGATTTTTCATGTATTATCTTGTGATCATTGGATCAATAAAGTTGGACTCTGAGTGACTTATATTAAGTTCATTCATAAAGTTGTTGACACTTTGTTAGAATGTATTGTGCATTGTAATACATGGAATGAAGTGTTTGTTTAAGAGCATGACCGCCATGATTCATGTAATGATATGTTCTAGCTAATGTGATTATTGCATAACTTTTAGTTGAGTGATAAAGTCTATGGTCATATTATATGTTTATCTCTCATAAAGGATTATCTGATTTTAATATGTGGGCCAAGTGGGAGAATGTTAGAAATTTACTGTCTCTTCTAGAGACTTCTAGTGTGGCCCACATATAAGGTAAATTACTTACCTTGTCTCCCAAAGGAAATAATATATCAGATAATATTCTGTAGTTATGCATATATGGTAATTTCTTTGATGGAAAGAAACTATCATATATTAGTAGCCCTTAGGGTAATTATAATTTAATGAGAAGTCCCTAGGGCTAAAGTATTTGCCTAAGAGTCCCTAGCCTACCTATAAATACGCATGTGACTCCATCAGTCTGGCATCCAACGATAGGCACATGCTAGAAGACTCTAGATTTTCTGTCAAGGTTCTTCCAAGGCGATTCCCAACAACACTTGAACAACAATGGTTAAAGGTACGTTCCTTGTATAATTTTCGCCGCGTTGGCTCTATGTATGTGTTTAAATTCTACAAACACTACTATAAAAAAGAACAATAATAAAGACTTATGAAAGTGAAATGGTTTCCAACTAGTTGCATTAATAAGCCGAATAAAATAGTACTACTAAATTTATCGAAGAGTATGATAAATATCTTACAAGAAAAGGCAATTCTTTGATAGTTGATTACAATGATACATACAGGTTTGATAACTAAGTTCCGGTTCATCATTTTTACAAGTACAGCCTGGCGCATAAAATATCATGTATTCACGTAGGGTGGCGGGGATGAATTATACCTCGAGGGTATAATGTAGACAACCTACTCTAAGATAAGTACAATGGCTACTTTCACAGACTTGAACCCGTGATGTATATGTTACACGGAAACAATTTTACTGTTGCTCTAACGGCTTGTTTGGATGGTTGTTACATATTGTATTATATCGTATTGTTACTTTAAAAATAATGTTTATCTTCATGTTACTTAAATTTTATTGTATCATATCGTTAAATCCATCATTAAGTAACGACGAAAAGTGTCACTTTATGGAACGACGGATTTGGTGTGGTGATGTCGTTTTCTTGCTTTTTTCGCTCATCTTGCCCCTCCTTATCATTAAATAATCATATTTTATCCCTTATCGTACTTTTTTTATATAATAATTCTACTTTGTATCCTATCTTTTCTTAGTAATGTTACAAATTTAATCTTCATACTATTGGTGTGTCATGACATCATGAAACAACGGCAAACGATACAATCTATTCATCAAACAATACAATACAATACAATACAGTAGAATACAATATGATACATTATGAAACGACATGTAACAACAATCCAAACAAGCTGTAAGACTCCCGTTCTGATCATTTCTGCAACTTGTGCAAAATTAAATGAGCACCATATTGAGGTTGAAGCAGAAGTGGATGAGGAGCATGAGCATAAGATGGAGAAAGTTCAAATGCATAGTGTTTCAAAATCATGGCAATTGCCATCTTAGCCTCTAACATAGCAAAGTTTTGGCCAATACAAATTCTTGGACCCCAACTAAATGGAAAGAACACAAGTTGTCCTTTTGTTGCTTTGGCTACACCTTCACTAAATCTTTCTGGATTGAACTCCATTGCATCATCTCCCCATATATCAGTATCATGATGTAACAAAATTGTAGCTAATAAAAGTTGCACCCCAGCAGGTAAACATAAATTCCCTAACTTTGTTTCTTTGGTTACCATTCGATTAATGAAATATCCTGAAGGATACAATCTCATGACCTCGTTTAAGATCATAGTCACCTATCAAACAAAAAAGAAGAATTAACCCAAACAACCGTCTACGTAATAGGGGGATGTATATAATTCATGTATAGTATGTGTATAACTGTATATAGTTAATATATAATCTATATATACCGGCTAGAAAAGGTAAACGATGAATCTGGCTGGCTATTTGTGTAACAGTTCCACCACATGTGATTATTGCCATCACGACGACATGGTTTTTTCTAGGATATTTAAGTTATGTACTTATATATATACTAGAAGTATAAACAAAATAATACTGCTAATCAGTGGCGAAGCCAGGAAATTTAATAAGGGTGTTCAAATTTTGAACACCCTTTGTCAGTGGACTATGCAGGGGTGTTCAAAGTCTATTTTTAATCAATAACAAATAATATTTTATCTTATATGTAGTATAATTTTTTGGCAAAGGGTGGTCAGTTGACCACCCTTTGGCCAACATAGCTCCGCCACTGCTGCTAATGCCTTTAACTTATTGCAGTAGGTATTTGTCCTACTTTTCGGGTAATCGGTCACACTTTCTATGGACTATTACCTGATTATTTTTTAAGTGAAAAAAATTCTTTTTTATTATATGTATATAGAAGTGACACTCTTTTCTAGCTCAAAGGATTAAGAAAATTTTACGTCCTCTGTCTCAAATTATGTGGCATATTTTTCTTTTTATTCGGTCCTAAAATAATGTCAACTTTCTATACTTAAAAAAAATAACTTTAAAATTCTTATTTTACTGTTAATGGATGATTTATAGTCACGTAAATTTCTAAGGCTTATTTTAGACCAAATGTTTCCAAAATCTTTATTCTTATTAAAATCCGTGTTCAGTCAAACAATGTCACAGAAATTAGGACGGAAGAAGTAATTTGAAGTGAACATGGAGAGAATACTTACTATTTTTAGCTGATTCAACTTGTCATAGTCAAGTTCATCATTTCCAAACACTTGCAAAACCTCTTCTCTAGCTTGTTCTTGCCAAATAGGATACTTGCACAATAAAATCATAGTCCATACAAGTAAAGCTGAAGTAGTCTCTTGCCCAGCAAGATAAAATAGCTTACATTCTTCAATCACCTCATCAATACTCATACCAAATTTCTTGTTATTTCCATGGTTTTGAATTTCTTTTAAATTGGATGCCAATAATATTCCCAATAAATCATCAGGAGCTTCTCCATTTTCAATCATACTCATTCTTTTCTTGATAATTCCCAATATCAATACGCGCACTTCGTTAAAGATTTGCTTCATCCTTCTGTTTGTTTTTGTTGGTATAAACCTATGGTTCAAGAAATTAAGTAGAATTGAAGTTGCAAATAAGAAAAGTTTCATAGTAGATACTGAACACATAATTAAGTAATAGAAAGTGTGTTTTTTCAAATAGTTTAAACCTTTAGATGAGATGACCATACAATTCAACATGGTATCAAAGCAGTCAACGATATATGTTGGAGTTTCACTACCATTCAATATCAGAAGGAATTTTCAACACTATGGCCGCCTATGAACACACAATTAAATACAACAACAACAAAAAACCTAGTATAATTCCACAAGTGGGGTCTGGGGAGGGTAGTAGGCAGACCTTACCCTTACCTTGAAGGTAGAGAGACTGTTTCTGATAGACCCCCGGCTCACAAAAGACAAGAGAAAATAATAGCACCAAGCAGTAACAACAATAAGCTAGTAAGAAATCGAAACGAAAAGAATAACAGGTAATACTAAAAGAAAACAAAAGTGTGCTTTTCTCAAACAGTTTAAACTTTCAGATGAGATGATCGTACAATTCAATATGGTATCAAAGCAATCAACGATATGCTTTCGAGTCTCACCACCATTCATTATCAGAAGAAATCACATATTTAAAATACGATAGTGATTAATTTAGAACCCAATGAAATCAGTAATTGTACCTCCATCCGGGGATGTATAATGAGCGTGCTATTTGTAAAAGTAGTTCCATTTGCTCTTTTTGAAGTTCAAAAATCTTTCTTCCTTCTTCATAACTACTGCCAAAAGCAGTTCTTGAAATGGCATCACTTGTTAAAGTTTGTAGATATGGCCACACATCTATCTCTGATCCTTCTGTCGAGACAATTTTCTTCCATTTGCTCAACATCTCACTAGCAGTCAATTGGAATGCAGGTAGCATATGCTGCACGTTATGCATTAGACAAAATAATATCAGTAGAGGTGAATCCAAGATTTAAATCAGTAATATCAAAATATGTACGATTTTATTACATGCGTACATTATGTGAGTTAAAAAGGAATTTGTTTAGTTGAATCTACCGAACTCACCCTAGATCCTCCTCTTATTAGTAGTGGTGATAGATCAAATGAACTTTACTTTCCAATTTTTGAGTTATTTGCATATAAAAGGCATTATACTTGAGAAGAAAATATAATAAGGTATTCTACAAATAAGAATCTAACCTTATTATAACCACCAAAACTTATAGTTTAGTGACATCGATGAGAATATCTCACACAACAGGTGCGGATTCGATACTCATCACCCCCTTTCCCCTTTCCTTGCCCTAATCCCACAACATAATGATAAGCAATGGCGGATCCAGGATTTTAATGTTATGAGTGCTCGCCGATAAAAACTCCGTATGTGCATCCGCCACTAATGATAAGTGGGCAGCCTGGTGCACTAAGCTCCCGCTATGCGCGGGGTTCGGGGAATTAAGGGTCGGACCACAAGGGTCTATCGTACGCAGCGTTACCCTGCATTTCTACAAGAGGTTGTTTCCACAACATAATGGCAAGTAAAATAAGCACACAAAAAAAAAAAGAATCCAACCTTAAGCAAGTCAATAATTTAGCAAATTCTACGCTGGTTGTCAGCCTACCACAATCCTCCTCCTATATTTGGATTTGAGACTGACAATTTGAGCAAGCTTATATGGGCGGAATTCTTAAGCAAGTCTACAATAAACTACTACAAAAAAAGTGGTGCAAATTGACACAAGATAGTTTCATATTAAAAACCTTCAATTTGTCAAGGTGAAAAGCAGGATTGATAAGTCTTCTATGTTTAGCCCATTTATCTGCTTCATAGCCAGCAAGTCCATTTGCTGCCAACTTAGTAAGTGGAGTGCCAGGTGGCTTTTGAAAAATGTAATTTTTCGTTAGCACCTCTCTTATAAGTTCAGGGTCTACGATAACAATTGCTGGTCTTGGCCCATACCATGCCAAACAATTCTTACCTACAAAAGTACAACAACTTTTGAGTTTAAAATTTTGAAGAATTAACATAAATAGCCGTCTCCCATCGCTAAAACTTAAAACAGTCGATAGATATATAATATGTAAATAATTCAGGTATATTATGTGTATAATTATGTATAATCAGTATATAATTTACCGGCTAAAAAAATAAATAATGAATATAACTGATTATTTGTGTAAAGATCCCTTTAAATTTTATCACGGTGTAAACATATTTACGCCAAATAAGATACATTTTTATGATAAACATCGGTAACATAGTAGCTAACTTACTATAACTAATTAAGTCAGTGACAATAACTTAAATCCTTATTATTTTCAAGGTCTTAGGTAACTAGTTCCAGAACATTTAGTAAGTTATTAATCTTAACATTCTCAGATTACCCTTAATAATACTCTCTTATAGCAGAGGGGGAATTAGAATTCTGAGTATATAAGTTCTTGATTCTGGAGAAAAAAGAGGCTTACTAGGTTTTGGATAAATTATTTTGTAGTTTGTACATATGTTTTTTTGTTTTTTTAATAAAATACATGGTTTGAGCTAAAGCTATTGGATTCTGCCGAACCCATACGCAATACACTAGCTCCATCCCTATCGTACAATATAACATGACATGCTTAAGACCACAAGATTTAAGAGATACTTTTGGTATGGTAACACACCTTTAATTTCAAATCACGAGATTCGGCAATTTTCTTTATATTTTTAAATTTTGTGCTAAGTCAAACTAAGACACAGAAAATAAAACGACGGAGAGTCTACGTACCATAAGTGGTGATGGTTTTGTGGAAGAAGGGCATGACTCTAGGCCAAATATCATGGGAGAAATCAATAGGCTTAGACAAAGCTTCTTTACCCACCTTCATCATTTCATTCACATCTCCAAACAAGAATCTATAAGAGTTTCCTTTGAAACCTTGTTGTCTAAGGCATTTCTCTAATTCTTTTGGTTTGAACCAAACCCAATTCAAGATTTTCCATGCCCATTTTAATACAAAGATAACTACAAATGATGAGACTGCAATTTTTAAACTGTAATATGATATCTCCATTGTAGGCTTTTTCCACACTGAGCTCTTTGATCTTGATAGTATTATATATTTGATGAAAATAAAAGGATTATTTTTTTATGAGCTAAATTTTGACTATAATTAAGAAATTGTTTGACAAACAAAATGATCACACGCGTCTTTAAAGTTTATGAAGAAATACACGTCATTCTGTCTCTGTCTAGATTTTTGTTTGGGAAAATGACGTTGTATAGCCGCTCTCAAAATAATAGCCGAAAAAAGTATATTTTTTAAAATATGTATACATTTAGTATGTTATATACAAATTTTATACACTTTTTCGACTATCGAATATAAATAGTTTCTGACGCGAGCTAAAAGTGCAAAAAATATTTTTTGAATAAGTATCCATTATTTTTTGAGTTTAAGTTATAAACGTATCGGTATTAAAAAATTATATTATCAGATTATCCAAATAATATTTACAGGTAAATCTCTTTATAAGTATGAGATTTGCAATCATAAAATAAGAAAATTTAGATGCACAATAGATAAAGATGACTTGGTGATATACAAAATTCAATGTATATAACTCAAAATTCTATTATTTTAAAGATTCAAACACAAATTCAAAGTCTAAGGAAAGGAGGGTCATCCTAGTACGAGTTAATTAAGCTTATCTAGAACTTCCAATGCTTGGTTGCTAAGTTCTGGAAAAAACATACAAGTCAAAGTAAAATGATATAATTAATCCTTTTTCTTTAAAGTGGAAGAAGGACTAGAAATATTAAATTTCTATCTTCCCTTTCCTTGTGGAACAAGGAGTAGAATAATCTTTGTTTGAGACACAGGTTGTCGACTATTATTTTTGAGAGCGCCAAAAAATATACGTTTATAATAAAAAGGGGGAAAAGAAAGGAGAAGAAGGTGATTGTCCCACAGTCAGATTTTATCAACATTACTAAGTCTCGTATTTCATATGATATTAAACTTTCATTAGTTCCATGTCTCTATATGAATGAAAAAAATACATTCTTAACCCTGTCTGTCAAATCCTTTAAGTGGACTAGGGGTGTAATTGGTACGAAGAAAAATATTTTTCGAAAAATATTTTCTAATTTTTTCATGTTTGGTTAGTTTAAATATTTTAGAAAATATTTTTCTTATCAACATATTTTTCTTCAATTGGAGAAAAGTTTTTTCTTTATCAAGATAAGAGAAAACATTTTTCAAAACTCCTTCTCAACCTTTCCCGCCATCACCAACCCACCCCACACCTCCACACACACCCACCTAACCCCGCGTCATGCCTACTCACCCGATTCTCTCTCTCGAGAAAGGTTTTTTTTTTTTTCAAGTTTCAGTTTTTTATTCCGTCACCACCCACCCTACTACATCCCCCCCTCGTAATTTTTTTTTACTTTTTTTTTTTTTTGTAATTTTAAATTTCTATTTTTTCGTTTAACTGCACCCTCACCTCACCCCGCCAACCCCACTGTCCACCCCCCACCCCCACCCCTCGAAAAAAATATTTTTTTTTATGTATTTTCAGTTTTAGTTTTTTCATCTTTCGGTTTACAGGTTCGAAATTTTACAAGTTCCAAAGTTATAAGTTTGGAGGTTTATGTGTTTGAAAGTTTTCGGGTTTAGAAATTATAAAGTTTACGGGTTCGAAATTTTGCGATTTCGAAAGTTTAGCAGTTCGGAAATTTATGAAATTTGTGGGTTTGGAAGGTTGTTGGTTAGAAAGTTTATGGCTTCATGCTTATTATATCTAAGTTATTCTTGAATAGTCTTGAGAAGTTATTTTCCTTAAATTGCGTACCAAACACCTGAAAATGAATAAGATTATTACTTATTTTTCAATAAAACATTTTTTACCGAAAACATTTTCCGTTATACCAAACGCACCCTAGGTAACAGTAAATTACACTTAATGACCTAAAAAATGAATGGTGTTGATTTTTTGACCCTCAGTTGCCTCATAGGCAAACCTTTACGGTCCTCATGAGGCAAGCGAGCCACAATACGTATTAAACTTAAAATTTTGCCAAGAGAACCACCAGGGGCAAAAGGAGTGACACCAAAGTGTAGGGGTGGGCATCGGTCGGTTTGGTTCGGTTATGAATATTATCGGTTTTGCCTATCGGTTATCGGTTTACAAATATTATAACCCGATAACCAAACCGATAAGATATTGGTTATCGGTTATCGATCATTATCGGTTCGATTATCGGTTTACCCGATAAGATAAAACAACTAAAATAGTTTCGCAATGTATAAAACTGTTTCAGTATAAAACTGTTTTGTTAAAACAGTTTTATAAGATTTTAAGAACTGTTTTGCTAAAACTGTTTTGCTAAAATTCTTTTCAGAACTGTTCAATTTCACTTAAATTTACTGCAACATCCAATAAAATAAACACTAACCAAAGTTTCTATCTTTCATTCTTCAACCCAAAAAATATAAACAAAAATCTCACTTCAGCTTTCAAACAAACTAAGAAAAATTCAGAGCCAGAATTCTTTCAAACAAACTAAGAAAAAGATGAAGATGAAGCAACTAAAAACTTACACGAAAAATCAAGATGAAGCTGAAGAATGCGGCTAAGAAATGTGACTAAAGAGTGAAGAAGATGCGACTGAAGAATATGATGGATCTGAGAAATGAAGTGAAGATGCAACTGAAGAGTGAAAGAAAGAAGCTGAGAAATGCGACTAACACCGGCCTGAGTCTTGACGGGCTGACTGGTGAGGGCGTGATGCGACTGACGCCGGCCTGAGTCTTGACGGGCTGATTGGTGAGGGCGTGAGGCGGAGAAACTGAGAAAGAATAGAGAAATCAAAGAGTGGACTATGAAGTATGAATTATGAAACCCTAGTATGTATATACTTAAGGGTAAACTAGTAAATTAGTTAATCTTTATTGGGTTATCGATTTTACCCAATAACAGAATTGCCAAACCGAGCCCGAACCGATAACCCAATAAAAAAAATTTAATCCGTTACCGAACCGTTAACCCAATAACCCAATACCGATAACCCAATAAATAATTAACTGTTCGGGTTATCGGTTTTACCCGATATATGCCCACCCCTACCAAAGTGTCCTATTTGTGCAAATCACAAATATTACATTGGAAAGAAAATATTACAACTAGTTACCAATAAATACAATTTACACGATTTATAATTTTATATATATTCCAACTGGTTAATACCAACCAACACAATTTATACAATTATACACATATCAATAAAAAAATTCAACGTGTAACCAAAATTTCTCAAACCCAGTGAAAATCACAATTCTGGAAGAGTCTGTTAAATATTGGCGAAGATCAAAAGTATCATTTTTGACAAACTTAAAGAACAAAATTAGTGCTCAAGACTATTTTTTTTTTTGGTAATTAAGTATTTTATTTACCAAGTAACAATATTTACAACTCATCTAGACTGTTACAAAATTTCCTCTAGCGTACCACCTACTGGGAATGAAGCCCCAGTTTGGTGATACCTATCATTGACTGCTTCTACTGCTTCGTCTTCTACCAATACTGTTTCATACTCTTGCTAACTTCCGGATACCAATTCAACTCAGCCATTGCTCTATCTAGACAAGGGAATTTAGCTGCCCTTATGTGTATTTCCTGGATGATAAGATGAAGTATAGTAGTGTCTGTTCTTCTCTTCTTATGAAAAATCACATTGTTCCTCTCTTGCCAACAGTGATAGACAGCAGCGCTTTGTCATCCTACATATTGCTGCCCTTGCACTCTTTCCTTTGGTCAGCTTTGCCAGCCATGTTATTTCTTCCTGCCATGCATGATGTGTTCTTCATATTCCTTGCCATTTCAGCAGACCATTCCATATCCTCCCTGTTATCTCACAGTCAAAGATCATGTGTTGCACTATCTCATTTTCCTTGTTATACAAAGAGCATGTTTGTTCTGTAATTACACCCCATCTTGCTAGTCTGTCTTTAGTTGCTAGCCTTTGTTGAATTGCCAACCTTAGAATGAATATGCACTTGGGTTGCCCCTGATTATTGCATACTAACTTCCTCCATGGCACTTTTTGAAATCCTCCTTGTAAGGTCTTGTATATTTGTTTGACCGAGCATTTCACCATCCTCTGAATACCCTCTTCATTAAGACCTGCCTTGGCAAAGTAATCCTTTGCCTGAAAGATCTTTTGTACTACCCATGAAGCACTCTTTGGTTCTGTACTCCAGACTATGTGATCCTTGATATAGTATGTATCCAATGTACTCATAACTTCTCCTTCCTAGTGCAAATACTCCATAGCAGCTTGCAAATAGCAGCTTTGTTCCACAGCTCCACATCAATGAAGTTCAAGCCTCCTGCAACCTTAGGTGAGCATAGTTTCTCCCAGGCTATCAAAGCCCTTTTTGTTGGTTCAGCATTACCTGTCCATAGAAACCTTCTACAGATAGTTTCTATGAAATGGATAACTTTCTTAGGCAATATGAAAATCTGTGCCCAAAAAGTTTGTATAGCAAATAGCACACTTTTAACCAGTACTGCTCTACCTGCATATGACAAGAATTTTGTGGTCCAGCTCTGAATCCTGCTTAACATCCTCTCTATTAGGGGCTCACACTGTATAGTAGACAACCTCTTAGTACTCAAACGGACCCCTAGGTATCTGAAAGGCAATTCTCCCTTTGTATAGCCTAACATCTCCATAATTTGTTGTTGAGTCAAGTTGCTCACCCCTCCAAAATAAATGCAACTTTTATTTGGATTGGCAATCAGTCCTGATGCTGCAGAAAATTGCTGGAAGTGCTTGTGCAGGATCTGTACAGACTGTACATCTCCTCTACAAAACAGTAGTAAGTCATCTGCAAATCCCAGCTGAACTAAGTTAAATCTGGCACACCTTGGATGAAATCTAAACTTCTTGTTTTCTTTCAGTGTCTTCAAAGACCTACTCAAGTATTCCATAGCCAAAACAAACAGGAAAGGGGAGAGTGGATCTCCCTCCTTAAACCTTTCCTTGCCTCAAATGGTGCAGTTGGTCTACCATTGATGAGCACTGAGTAGGATATTTCTGATGCAAGCCATTATCCACCTCACAAATATTTCAGGAAAGTTTCAGCACTTGTTCTATGTGCATCCATTCCACAGAGTCATAGGCTTTCTACATGTCTAATTTAATCATACATCTTGGAGATATATTCTTTCTTCTATAACCTTTGACCAATTCATGTCTCATAAGAATATTATTTGTAATCAATCTTCCAGGTACAAAAGCAGCTTGACAATTGTCTATCAAATCTTCCATCACCCCTTGCATTCTTGTAGTAATCACCTTTGAGATGATCTTATATAAAACTGTACAACATGAAATAGGTCTGAAGTCTCTTATATTTGTTGGATTCTGAATTTTTGGTATCAATGTGATTGTTGTGCAATTGATAGCTTTACACATATCTGTATTCTCAAAAAATTCTTGAACTGCTGCAGTAACTTCCTCTCCCACTATGTGCCATGTCTTCTTAAATAAATAGGAATTGTACCCATCACACCCTGGAGCCTTGCTGTCATCAATGCCCATTATAGCTTGTTTCACTTCTTCTCTGCTAACAGGTCTAATTAACTGTAGTTGTTGCCTCCTACTCAGTACATGCCCATTCTGCATAATCTCTAGATTGATAACTGGTAACTGAGCTGCTGCAGTACCAAGCAGCCCCTTATAGAAACTTAGGATTTCTGCCTCCACCTCACCTGGATTTTGTAGTATTTGCCCAGTACTAGTGATTAATCTGCCAATGTTGTTCCTTGCTTGTCTCTTTTTCATGCAAGCATGGTAGAAAGTTGTATTAGAATCCCCAAAATTAAGCCATTGTAACCAAGACTTTTGTTTCATGATGCTTTCCTCCACCATCAACCATTTTTCCAGTTCTAATTTAGTAGTTCTTTCAAGTGCAATTTGCTCATCATCTTGGCCTAGGAAATTCGTTTGACTTTGTATATTTTCTAATCTCCCCCTAGCATCTTGTATCTTATTTTCAATTCCACTGAACTCTTCCTTATTCATTTGTTTCAGAGCCCCTTTCAGCTTCTTAAGTTTGTTCCACACAGATAACATTGTAGATCTACCCTCTCTAGCTCTCCAAACATGTTGTACTGTCTCTTCAAAAGAACTCAAACTTGCCAAGCAGTTAAGAAATTTGAAAGGTCTCCCACCTGCTTGGTTGTTGGTGTCAAAACTCACACTTAACGGGCAATGATCTGAAAAACCAGGATTCATAGATATCCCCTCCATGTTAGGCCATTTTTGTATCCATTCAGCATTAACCAGATTTTTCTATCAATCCTACTATGTACATGGTTATTAGTCCATGTATATTGTCTTCACACAGTTTTCAATTCATCTACTTTAGTATCCAACAAGAACTGTTTGAACTCCCTTATCTCCACTTCTTGCACAGGGCTACCATTAAACATATGCTCACTAGTTAGAATAGTATTAAAGTCACCCATTATGAGGCAAGGACTGCTTATATTAATCATAGACCTCAGCAGCTCCTCCCATAGATTCTTCCTATCTTTAACTGTATGCTTCCCATAAACAGCACAATGGTAAAAATTAGTGTTTTGCTGCATTATAGTTACCTTCCCCGGTATAAATTGTTCATGAGTTCTAATCAGTGCATAGTCCACCTGAGTTGAATCTCATACAATCCATATTCTGCCTCCGGGAGCTTCATTGTAATTGTCCACCCATTTCCAGTTATTTAAGACCTTCCTTATTACAGAATCAACATTACTTCTCTTCACTCTATGTTCTATTATGGATATCAACACCACTTTATTTGTTCTGCAAATTTTTTTTAGTTCTTTTTGTTTGTACACTTTATTCAAACCCCTTACATTCCATGCTATAAAGTTCATCATGATATGATAGTTTGTTGTAGAGTTCCTTCCCTTGCCTTCTTGTTCTGCTTCTCCTTAGCTCCTTTGGCTTCAGACAGTTGAACTATCTTTTGAGCAGTATCAAATAATGCTTTGAAGGCATTACCAATGTCCACTTCCTTCTCCCGTATCGCTTCTGCACTCTTCTTTGTAGCAGATTTACCTCGAGCTACTTGCCACTGTGACTCAACTTCTGGATTGCTTTGCTGCACAGTTGGAAATTCCTCCAACTGTTCAATGAATCTACCTTGGGCATCAATTTTATCAGCTACAGGTTCAAGTATTCTAACTTTCCTCCATTCCTGTTTCAGCACTCCTTCCCCATTACTTTGCATCATTCCATCCTGCTTCTGCTTCTTTTGGTCCTTACATATATGGCCTAGTTGACAACACCTCTGACAATACTGGGCTTCCAGTCATAAAGAACCAGCTGCTCTAGCACCTTGCCTCTAGGATCGTACAACTTGATCTTCTCTGGCAGTGGCCTTGTAACATCCATCTCGATTAGGACCCTAGCATATGAAATTCTTTTTGCAATTGTTGTGCAAGCATCAGCATATAATGGTTTTCCCAGTCCACTTCCAATTTTACTTAGGGCTTGGTTACTCCAAAAATTAAGTGGCAGATTTGGAAACTTGATCCACAAAGGGATAGTTCTCAGCACTTCTTTCATTGAAATCAAAATTCTCCGACCACTGCCTCATAATAACTGGCCTACTATTGATTGTATAAGGCCCATTCATCATCACCCTCTCCTTCTCTTCATTAGTACTAAGCAGAATAATGAAGTAACCATCATTATGGAATAACACCTTAGGTTTCTGCACATTAGCCCACTGATTAGCTATGAACCTTTCAATAGCTCCAATTGATGGAGTATTCCCCACCACATAGAGTATAACAGCTCGAGTCCACTTTAGGTTTTCCTCTGCAATGTCCTCATCCATCAATTGCACCACTACTTCACCATCCTTCATCACTGGGGGTATGTAAGTTAGATTCATACCTTTCGCTGCCAATTTGTTCTCCTGAAGAAGTCCTGCCCATGATCGTCCCTTCTCTACTGTTGGTATTGTGCTCTTCTGTTGATTTTCCTTCTTGTTATCCATAGCATTGGCCCTCTGATCCTTATTGGGGTTTGCATGCACTGTTCCATTGATTTGCACCACACTCGAGCGGGGTTGCTCACTTGTAATCCTTATTGCGCTAATTTCGTACCAGAATTCTCCATAGATGTCAATTTTTTGCTGGAACTCACTGGTGTTACTGCTTGATTTCGATAATTGCCCAAATCTGGCCAGTTTGCATCACTGTCATTGTCCTATTCTAGCTCCTCCTCCTGCATTTTCTCCTTTGCTTTAGCATTTCCTTTTCCTTACTCGCGTGTGCTATCAGCCGTCAGCTTCCTGTCCATTACTAGTGTTTTGGTGTTGTTCTTCCTCGGTCTTCCTCCCATTTCCGGCGAAGGCGCAGGTTAGTCAGTCACCTAACGTGCGCCGAGAGAGAAAAGAAAGTTTATTGCAATCAATAATATTGCTCAAGACTATATTTAAGTGCCCGTTTGGACATAAAATTTGATGAAAGATTTTTCCAAAAAAATTTCACTTTTTTTCGAAATCAGCGTTTGTTCATAAAATTTCCAATTCACTAGAAGATGCATTTTGGAAATTTTCGAAAATTTGAAAAACTGCAAAATGCTATTTTTCAAAAGTTTCACTCAAATCACTCACAATACTTTAAAAACAACCCAAACTGAAATTTATGTCCTAACCACAACTCTAATAAATTTCAAATACCATTTTTTCGAATTTTACAATTCTTATGTCCAAACGCCTACTAAGATATTATTTTTATTCCTACTCCAAATTATATGGGACCATTTTTTGTTATGTTTTCTATCTCATGTCAAACAGCCTCTCTACCTGTATTAGGTAGGGGTAAGGTCTGGGTACAGACTACCCTCCCCAAACCCCACATGTTGGGAACATACTGGATTTGTTGTTGTTGTTTCTATCTCATGTCACCAAAGCAGAATTTTTCCCTTTTGATGTTATTGTGTACATGAGGAAAGGGTAGTCTGAAGCCGCAGCCATCAACCTCACCAACGTTTTTTACCAAGAAAATATGAGGAGATACACATACACTTAATAATAGATTCGACTTTAATTAATAATCTACTAAATACACTCTTCCTGAATAAGAGCAAGAACCAGCTTTCTTAACAAATCAAATATAACAACCCAAAACCATGTAACAACAAAAATTAGAATAAGTGATCCTTTATTACCAAATATTAAACAAAACTTCGTAAGATAACTTGGCTACAAGATGCTCCAAATAATCAAGGAGCGGAACTAAAGTATTAGACACGAGTTTAGATGAACCAACAATTTTTGCTTAGATCCTGTATTTGTAATATAGAATTTACTAAAGCTAAACGGCGATAAGTTCAGAGCTCAAAAACTTCAAACTTTGGCTCCTCCTCCACCTACAACTTGTGTAGAATTAGCTGAGCGCCATGTTGAGGTTGAAGAGTTAGCACTGAATAAGGAACATGAGCATAAGAAGGAGAAACATCAAAAGCATAGTGTTGTAGAATCATAGCAAGAGCCATTTTGGCCTCTAACATAGCAAAGTTTTGTCCAATGCAGATTCTTGGTCCCCAACTAAATGGAAAGTATGCAAACTTGCCTTTTGTTGCTTTGTTTACTCCTTCACTAAACCTCTCTGGATTGAACTCTTTAACATCTTCACCCCATATTTCTTGGTCATGATGCAACATTATTGTTGGTAATAGGAGTTGCACTCCACTTGGTAGTGATAAGTTTCCTAATTTGGTTTCTTTATGTACCTCTCGACCCATCAAAAGAAGTGGTGGATACAATCTCAAGACCTCTTGAATAATCATAGTTACCTGTTCAAGTAGCAAAACAACCTTTTAATCGGAGTTTAGCTTCTATATAGTGACAGTTTAAATAAATCTTTATAGGATCAGTATCATGTTATCTAAAAGGTAAATTAGTAACTAGAAAATAAGGTAGGTAACATGTTAAATTACACTGATAATATAAAAATTTGTTAATTTACACAGTTAGTGGACATAAGTTAAATTCTTCTTGAAAAGATACAGGTAGGTATCCGCCTAATGACACCGGGTGTCCACTTAAACACTCCAGTTCTATTTAAAGAGTTCAAATTCAATATATTGATTGTGTAAATCAGGTCATTTATAAGGTTGTTACAAGATCGCTATAACAGTTAAAGCATTAGGAAAAATGGTGAATGACTTGATATCACATGTTTGAAATTGGCTCAACTGGTAAGTTGCTGCCATTTGACCAGGAGGTCACGGGTTCGAGCCATAGAAACAGCCTTTTGCAAAAATGTAGGGTAAAGTTGTGTATAATAGACCGTTGTGGTCTGGCCCTTCCCCGGACCCCGCGCATAGCGGGAGCTTAGTGCACCGGGCTGCCCTTTTTTTCACTTGATATCACATGTTAAATTACATAGACTGTCAGTGTATATTAACTTAATTCCTAGTGTTTCAAAGAATAAAAAAGAAAAATATACAAAAACCCTCAAACTTAGTGCATAGATACATAGAGATGATGCACTTACAACTTTGAGTTGATTCAGCATGTCATAGTCAGGTCTATTGTTGCCAAAGACTTTAAGAACCTCTTCTCTAGCACGAGCTTGCCAGTCGGAGTGTTTGCTCAATACAATCATTGACCATGTAAGCAATGCTGAAGTTGTCTCTTGTCCAGCAAAATAAAACAACTTACACTCTTCAATTACCTCATCCATACTCATTCCAAATTTCTTATTTCCATGTTCCTGGATTTCTTTCAAATTGGATTCCAATAATATACCCAATAAGTCATCGTTATTTGATGCTTCCCCTGCTTCAATTGCATTCATTCTTTTATTGATAATTCCCAACACAAGTGATCTTACTTCCTGATATATTTGTTTCATCCTTCTATCCTCTTTGTTGGGCAAGAACCTATAATTTAGAAAAGAGTTTATGTTCTATGCAATAACAGTGTAACTTATAAGGTAACAATGAGGTAAATCTCTACGATACGTACTCATTAATTGATAATCCGATAAAATGTTAACTACCTATTATAATAAGTTAAACAACAGTCATGGTGTAAAATTTGTTTACACTGTTGGTGTATAGTATGACTCCAAACGTTTTGATGTATACAACTATACTAGAGGGACGAATATGAAGGTAACTTACTTAATATAACTTGACTCTGTCACTTTTAAGATAATTTTGGCTAGTTCTTGTTGAAGTTCAAACATCTTTCTTCCTTCTTCATAGCTATTGCCAAATGCAGTTCTTGAAATGGCATCACTTGTTAAACTTTGAAGATATGGCCACACATCTACCTCTGATCCTTCTGCTGAGACAATTTTTTCCCATTTGCTCAACATCTCACAAGTACACAAATGGAATGAAGGTACCATATGCTGCATAATATATTACATTTAAACAACCACAATCAGTATTAGAGTTTGCATATTTGGAAAGGTACAAATCAATAGGATTTACTTATATATATTGTATAAAAAAAGTTTACCCTGTCAGTGTATATTAAGTCTAGGTCGAGCCCCACGGTGGACGTTAGCACTCTTAACCTTGGGGCCATAGGTCGAGCCCCACGGTGGACGTTAGCACTTTATGAAGGGGAGCCTTTGAACAACGGTAAAGTTGTCTCTTGACCTGTAGGTCACGGGTTCGAGCAATGGAATCAGTCACTGATGCTTGCATCAGGGTAGGCTGCCTACATTACAACCCCCCCCCCCCCCCCAGGGTGTGGTGCTTCCCTAGACCTCGCCCGGATGCAGGATGCTTTGTGCATCGGGCTGCCCTTTTATCAGTGCATATTAACATGTTATACATAGCAGGTTACTATTCACACTTATTACCGTCAATATATAGAAGTTAAATCCTAGAAACTTAAGCAACTATATTGAGTTTAGAGATACCTTCAACTTGTCTAGGTGAAAAGCAGGGTTGATGATTCTTCTGTGTTTAGCCCACTTATCTGCTTCATAGCTCAAGATTCCTTCTGCTAACAATTTTGTTTGTGCAGTAGGCGGAGGCTTCTGGAATATATTACTCTTTGACAAGATTTCCCTTATAAGTTCTGGGTCCATGATGAGCAATGCAGGAGTTGGCCCCAACCATATAAAAGACTTCTTACCTATAATTAAGATGCTATATAATCATTAGTGAAAAAACCTATTGAGATGACATATAATATCTCACACAAACAAAGTCGCTCAATAATGTTTGTTATGTTATAGATCTAAAAACAAAGTAATAAACGTGTCTCTAACAATTTAAGCGTTCAGATTAATCAGTTCACGCAATATAATAAGCTATCAGAGAAGGCTGAGGTTCTGTGCACAAGTTTCATTGCCACCTATCTATGAAATATTTTCATGTATTTGCCGGTGGCGGGGGGCAGGATTTTCAAAAATTAATAAAAGCATAACATGCGAAGAGGCCAAGAGGATTCAATATCTAATACTCTCATTATATATGCAGTGTAATATTTCGACAAAAGGGGTTCATCCCCTCCACCCCAGCTCCGCCCATGGTATTTGCTCAGTAAGAAGTGTCATGTCAATATGTGTTGGGGCGAGCTACACAGTCCAACATTTGAATTCCCTACATCGAAAAATTATTTTATTCAAATAGTGTAAAAATAAAATTTCTTAGATATATATAAATCGTTGAATCCTCTTGGCGCAGGAGAAACTTTTTGTGTAGTGACAAAAATCTTAGACGTGATATTCTTGGGTTTTTTCTTCTTCTTTCTAATCCCTTTATTAGAATTCCTGATTCCGCCGCTGCATCTATATGCTCTAGAGGAATTCACACAGATTCAACAGGTTAAACTCCTTATATTGACTTTCCAAGTATATGAAATGGAAGGGAAAAATAGCCACCCAAAAAAAAAAAGCATAATGAATGAGAAGGTGCATATGTATTAGGGAATTTTATTCATCGTACCGTAATCGATAATGGTTTTTTGGATGAAGGGCATGATTCTAGGGACAATATCATGGGAGAATTTGATAGGCTTGGACTTAGCTTCTTCATCCATCATCACAACTTCTTTCATGTCTCCATACAACAGCTTGTAAGGGTTTCCCCTGAAACCCAACTCTGTGAGGCATTTCTCCAAACACTTTGGCTGCAACCACAGCCAATTCATGAATCTCCAACCCCATCTCAAAAGAATAATTATTATGACAAAAGAGATTGCTAATGAAATATTGTATATCATCTTTGTTTCTTTCTGTGATAGAGAGTGGAGAAATGGGCTTGGAAAATGTTGTATTTATATGCATTTCTTTGGGCAAAAGGAGAGTTGCAAAGCAAGCTTATCATGGAGAAATATTAGAAGAGTCAAATGTATCTAGATAGCTTGATAAGAAGCATATGACAAATCAAAGATAGCTGAAGGAATAGAGGAAAGAAGAAAAGTCTATGAGTCAATGGCCAGACTAGTGATCTTGTCTGCCAAGAAAAATCAAACTTTTGGTCTTCCATGACCAACTTTTTTGTATATAATAAGCCTCATTTGAAATATAACAATAACAACAAATTTAGCGGAGTCTACAAGAGAGGTTTGTACTTTGTAGTACGTACTCAGATCTTACTCCTGAGGTCTATAGTATGTATAATGTATAATCATGTCTTACACCATTATTTGGAAGGTAGAAATTTTCTGATAGACCGCCGGTTCAACGAGATAAAAAGTAACAGTAGAAACAAACAACATCAACTACAAAAGCCAAAAAGATAATAAATGCAATATAAGAATCAGAAAAATAGACGGAAGGAAGCAATAGCAACAAACAATAATAACAACAAAATACTAGTATACCGAAGCATAAGATTGTAGCAAAACAACATCTAATACTAGCAATTTAACAACAAGACATCATATTAACCCTAAAAATCCTAGTTATGGAATAGAAAAATGTTCGAATATCTATTAATCTTCTACCCTAATTATCAACCTTCACACCCTTCTATCAAAGGCCATGTCATTTGTAAGTTGAAGTTGTCGTATGTCCTGCCTGATCACGTCTCCCCAGTACGTCTTTGGCCGCCCTCTACATCTTCTCATACCCACCCAAACCAACCACTCACAACTCCTTGCTGGGCATCTAAGCTTCTCCTCTTCACATGCCCGAACCATCTAAGCCTCGCTTCCTGCATCTTGTCTTCTATGGGAGCCATGCGCACCTATATACGGATTATCCAACATAGTATGCTCGAACATCCATCTCAACATTCTTATTTCTGCAACTTTCATATTCTGGATATGAAATTTTTTGACTGGCCAACACTCTGCCCCAAACAATATGGTCTAATCATCACTCTGTAAAACTTACCTTTAAATTTTTGTGACACATTCTTGTCACACGGGACACGAGGACCATGTATTCTGCATTTTATGTACAATTTTTATTAATTGTAACACTAAAAACACCAAAGCGCTAAAGCCGCAACGTTTAATTGATTCAACGGGGAATGACCCTCATCAATAAAAATATAGTGATTAGTTTTGAAAATAAAATTGATAAATTCGTGTATATTGTCTAAAGCAATAATAATAAAATTATTACATCAAGGGAAAGGTGGGGTGGGGAATAGGATACAATAAGAACATTAATTACATAACAACCAATCACTAAACTACCGTACATTGGTTCCATGCAAATAGACGATACTAACACACCTACAAAGCCAGCAACTTTTCTGCAAACTCTACTATCCAATAAATATCTATTACCAACACTAAACAATCAACAAGATACAATAACTACAACTGATCTCTCTGATGAAATCATCCAAAACACTACAGATGAGGACACTTTTATTTTAATTAGTTCCACTGATAAATCACGTTTGTATGAACCTTAGAAATACTCGGTAATAATAAAGCTCTTTGGAAGGAGGATTGCCCATCATATTCTAAGGAACAAGCTCCTAGATCTATGGAAGCCAACTGAAGACCTCCCTATTATTGATCTGGGGTCTGACTTTTTTCTTATTAAATTTCAAAAAGAAGAGAATATGATTAAGGCTCTCCACGGTGGAGCATGGTTCATACTGAGCCATTTTTTGTCAGTTCGAAGGTGGGAACCCAAATTCATAGCATCATCTACACAGCTTACTTACTCGGCTATTTGGGTTAGACTTCCTGAACTTCCGACTGAATTCTATGACTTGGAAATACTACAAAGGGTTGGCTTGAAAATAGGTCAATTATTAAAGATAGACACATGCACTTCAACAACTACAAGGGGAAGATATACACGTATTTGCATTGAAGTACCCTTAAAAAAACCTTTAAAAACTCATATCCACATAGGCCATCACAGGCAAACACTTCTATATGAGGGGCTTAACTTACTCTGTACGAGTTGTGGACGATTTGGTCATGCAAAACCTAATTGTTCTTTTGTTGCACATTCCTCACTGGAACAAAGTATAAAAATCAGGCTACAACCTCCTCTATAATACCAAACACTGACCAAACACATGAGAGTGACCGGAAAACAGTCACCTTTGCAAGGAAATCAAATTACACATACAAGAACTCCACAACCACCACAAGCAAGGCGGCTATAGTAGCGGCGGAAGAGCAACCCATGGCAGGTAAGTATTCTAACCCTACTAGGCCACAATTGGGTCGGCTACCCTTGACTAACCCACACATGCTTGCTATGCTCAATAAGGAATTCATTAACAAATTTGACACCCTAGCTGACTATGGACTAACTATGGGAGTGGCTAATCAAATATGTACGAGCCCAATACAAGTTGGCCCAACTGGGGAATGTAGATCAACTACAATAGAGATACCAATGCTGCAGCCCACTCTTGACCAATCAACACGGATCATAGCCTCACACCCCTATTTACCCAATAAAATTATTGAGCACCCTAAGACTATATTACTTGATTCACAATCCCACTCTTTAACCTACTTAAGTGACCAACACACGTTTCCTAAGGAAGCACAGACACATCAACTATCTTCTCCACATAGCAGCACACTCACCTCCCAAGACCAATCCTTAATAGACAAATCCCAATTGAACACACCTCACTCAGCCACGTCCTTATTAACAATAAGCCAAAACCAGGATATATTGCATGCTACAGTACCCTATAATATTCAAGACCATAGGTCTCCTTAAGATCCATGTAAACACAATGATTGCAAAACATGTGAAGTCTTACACGACACTACTTACCATCCAAACAATCCATTATTTTCTTCAACACATACATAATTTTAGTCCTTAATAGACAACTACAATAATTCTTCTCAAAACACCATTCATACACAAAATAGTTCTAAAATTATCAACAATGCAGAGGCCCTCTTTTACGACCAACAACTAAAATATGTCTCTGAGGGAGAATATACAAAACAACATCCAGTTTTTCCAACTCCCAAGGCTAGCCATGCAGGGGCCACAGCTGCCACACATCTCAACCCCGCTGATCTACACTTCTCAACCGATGATAATGGATCAACCACTCCAATCTTGGTTGGAGATGGGCTTGCAAGGTTATGCATTGATCTTCACCATGGAGATGAACAATAAGGAGGTTGTTCTCCTACTTCAAAACCGTACGCACTTGGCAGAGATAGTGACGAAAGGAATAAGACTAGGCAAGGAGGCCTACACTCAGAACCAGTGGTTCACCACGCAGACTCCTCTCATGCTGGAGCACCATGCCTCAACTTCAACTCAACATCAGTGGTCTTACCCCATGAGTCGATGAACCTGCATGGGAACCCAACAGTCAACCTCCTGCCATTCTATCCTCCTCACCAATGGGGCAGGTGTATGCTCCTTGGTTCCAATCACTCCACTCCTTCAATCCACTGTCTCCCTACTCGAGTCCACTAGAAAGTTTCACACCACATGAGAGTCCACCACAGATACCACCCCCATCACCACATGCACTAGACATTCAAACAAGGCAAGAGCTGGCAGAGATACTAGTGGAGATGAGAGAAACAAGAACGGAATTTTGGTGGCTAAAGGGAATTCTACTCTACGACCTCAAAGAACAGTATGAAAAAAGTTTATTCTGAAATGTCCACCAGATCTAGTAAAATGCAGTCTAAATTTTCGTCTAACAACCAATCCAGAAGTAGGGAAATATGCCATGGTCATAATCCCAACACTTCATCAGATTCCTCAGTCAGTGAGTCTGGAACAAACAACACCTCCCGTTGTCACTCCGGTGACTCCAACTTCACTAGGTCAGGTCAATAACCCTAATTCTTATATGAACTTCTTAGTCTGGAACTGTAGGGGATCACACAATCCTGAGTTTAGACGATACTTTAGGTCTTTATTGGATAATCATAGGCCAGTGCTAGCTATTTTGCTTGAAACACACATGCACAACCATACAAGGCTCTGTGATGATTTCAACTTTACCAACATGTCCCAAGTATCTGCTAATGGTCTAATAGGTGGTCTAGTAGTGTTGTGGAATGAGGAAAGTATCAATGTGACGGAGATGAGGATATCTGACCAAGAAATACATTGCCTGGTACAGGTATGTCCCACTAAACCTCAATCGATACTATCTGCAATTTATGCTAGCACTTACTATAAATTACGTAATATTTTTTGGAATAACTTAATTAGTTTGCATGATACTATTCTATGCCTTGGTTAATAGGGGTGACTTTAACGAGGTGCTAGAGTCAAGAGAAAAATTTGGGGGACCCCCTATTAGTAATAATAGAGCGGATAATTTTGGTAACTGCCTTAATTATTGTAAATTAATTGACTTAGGATTTCAGGTTAGTCGTTTCACATGGACTAACAAGCGTAGACATGGTAACACAATTTTAGAATGGCTTGATCGTTTTTTAGCTAATTATGATTGGATAAATTTATACCCAGAAGCCATAGTGAAGCATCTACCTCGTACTTATTCTGAACATTGCCCGCTCTTAATAACATTTGAACCCACACATAGGATACAAAAAAAAATTAGATTTGAAACCATGTGGGCATCACATCCACAGTTTCAACAAATAGTTCACAATGTTTGGACTAATGACCAACCTCTACTTCAAACTACTAACAATTTTCAGGCAGTAGCCACTCTATGGAATAAACAAATTTTTGGGAATATATTCCAGCAAAAAAGAAAGATATTAGCTAGGCTGGCAGGAATACAATCTTCTATACACTACCCTACAAGCATATTCCTCCAAAATTTGGAAACTGAATTAACTCTGGATTGCAGTAACATATTACGCTTAGAAGAAGAGTTTTGAAAATTAAAATCACGCATCACCTGGTTAAATGAGGTGATGCAAACACTAAATTTTTCCATATGTCTACCCTTCACATACGTAGAAGGAATAAAATAAATGCTCTAAAAGATTTGGTTGGTAACTGGACTTTTAACCAAAATGACTTGCAACATAAAATTCTTACTTATTATAAGAATTTATTTACAACTGAGGATTTGCTATCTATTA